TTTTGTATCAGGGAGGACTGCATTAAGCAGGTTGTGGAAATAATTCAGTTAGCTCATATTTACGAAACACACGTGTCACCCACGTAAAGGCGCTAAAACACCGGCTGTTGTTGGTCGAAGGCAACATTTCCTAACTCCTGTATGAACAGTTCTGCCGATAATCCGGAGGCTGGTGAGCCCATTGGCTTTCCCTTGATTTGCTCATAGGTCTCCCCAGCAAGAGTGAAGAAAGTTAGTCGTCTGAATTAAAACAGCCTTATGAGGTGCTGAATTTTGAGTGCACTCTGAGTCTCATCGTACGCCTGTTGACGTCTGTTGTGCAAGATTCCGCGCGAAACGTTCGGAGCAAATAACGGCGTCACATCGAAGGAGATTATAATTTTGCCTTCATTCATGAAGCATATCGTTTTCCTTAACAATTCTTCTATGAAGCATTTCGGCCGACTGCCGAATACGCAATAGAAGTTGTTTAAGCTCAGTCATGCTAAGCAATTTTGTGCATTATAAATGATTATTTTTTCATGCCGTATAGCTCAAATGACGATAGACGCCTCTAAATTTTGGAGAACAGCAGCAGTTCGTTTTAGTTCGAAATGATAGGTGGCGAAATAGGCGCTTCTTCGTGAAACGGTGTAATAGCAAATCAGTTAATCAACCACTTGTTAGTTAAATCTTGTCCTCCAAATTGTGTCCAAAACCTTAGAGAACACAACGCATTAATTTACAGCTGACGTTTATTCGATAGTGTTTTCAAAAGTTTGTTTAAAACGTTGGTTGGTAAAAAATTGGCCGCGTTAAGCTACCTTCACAGGAGAACCCAGGCATTCGCTCCTACATACTAAAGAAAAATGTTTAAGCAAAAACAAGGAAGTGTTCACTGACTATGTACTAAAGGCCTCCAATCGCTTTGCCTCGTCAAGGAAGTGACGCATTTTTTCCGCAGACATGCTTTTAATAAGCACTACTGGCTGAGATGTTGAATGCCTGTTGGCGAATCCTCCCGAAGCAACTTCGGACAGCGGATTTTTGAGCCGATTACACATTAACAATTTTGTCGCATTACACGGTCTCCATCAATCATAGTGTCAGTATCAGTGGCAGTTTACAATGTTCACCGGCAATAGAAGAACAAAGGTCGGATTTGATTTGTTGATATTAACTTCGTCGTGGGAGTCCGAATGAGTATAAAAAGTCGAATATCACGCACATTTAATGAGAACTTAAGCAGACGACGATTTCATTTCGACCGATTTCAGGATGCAGTTGGAGATTCCAATGCAAACTTGGAACTCAGCTTGAAAATAATCCTAAAAGTGGTTTTTACTCACTTTCTTGAACTCCTGCAGCTTGACCGCCAAGCCATCAACGCATCCACAGAATTTACCCCGAATTACGACGACATTTTGAAACAAGTCTTAATTAGGCTGAAAGTGCTCGTCCCACTGTGCCTTGCTGCTCGACCTGTAGACCCGCGGGCAATCTCAGAGCAACGATTAATATAGGCAATAGGTGATAACAAGGCAAAAACAGGATAGGCCCAAAAGGCAGTTACTGCTTTGGCAACGGTCGTCAGCCTGCCTTGCTTAAACCAAGCTTCGCACCACCTGTAACTCGACCCCACCTTCTGTAATCATCGAACGTTATTACGCCCAGCCCTCTATTTATTGACTTTAAGATCGCTGTCTTCATCGCTGCTATCAGGGAATATTATTTACGCTAGGTAGTTTTCGCCACCATTAAATGTAGAAAAGCCATATATTCCCTCATATGGGCCGTGTCCAGGCACGATTTCATGACTCGCTTCTTTAACACCCTGTCCCCGCACATGTACCGTTATCAAACAGCCATGTTCCAGTCTAATAAAATCTCGTGACTAATATTCTTGAATTTCGCAATGTGTATGAGGCTGAGAAGACCCATGTAAAATGAATGTTCAGCATAGCGTTTAACTTTTAGCGCAATATTCCACTTATCCTGAACCATATGCATGTAGGAATTTACTGATGCATTGATATTTTGGCAGATTTTGAATAATTCATATTGACCCAACTGTGAAAATCTCGGCGCCTCGGTGGGATTCGAGGCTGCGTTAAAGCCTCCCCCTTACTGCGTGGGTTCGAATCCCACCGAGGCGCCGAGTTTTTCACAGTTGGGTCAATATGAATTTACTGACGCTTATAATGTCGTACCCATTTTTAAGTGTGTAGACTTAATGCCGTAGATTTCGATGGTTGTTTTTCATGATTTTTATTCCCGGAATTTTCCGCCCAGAATGCACGAACTTGAATGCTTCGCGAGGCTGAACGAAATCATACCGATTAAAACGCTAGCACATGAGGCATTTGCATTATAAACTATTCAGTGAACTTAATACAACATCAAATAATGTCCCAAATTAAAATCCAATAAGGGAAATGTGTACTAGGAAGTCACAGCATCAGAAGTGAGAAATTTTGAGATTTGAGGCTGAGATTAAGTTTGTCATGTCTGATTATGGCACGAAATAATAATTATATGATTCTATGCAAATTTCTAAGGATGTTGATACTTTGATTCTTTCGGTAGCAGCATCTCATATCTTGTCAACTGTTTGTCACTTATATGCTCAATCATAATTGACAACTTAATGTAACAAAAAATATTTATGGAAGTGATACATCTATCACGATACAGTAGCGTGTATGAAAAAAAGGAATTTCATATGATTTGCCCAAAACATCCTATCAGCCGCTGCAATAGCCCGATCATCACCTTGGGCCATGAAACGCTCCCTGTCACTACCTGAGCTTTTATAAATCAACGAAGGGATCTAATTTTTTTTGTCAACGTACTTAAAGCTTTCGGAAGCGTATATCATCTAGACGGAAGTCTTGAGTTATGGTACGCCAACATCCTTCAAAAAGTTTGCGAAATGCCGTGTATTAGTCAAATATAAGTTGGGTACTGTAATGTTTAAACCGTACTTTGCCAAGACAATTTTACTCAGGCCGTATAAGTATTGTCACCTTGACGAACGTAATGTTCTCCGGGGTTCAGCTGTCGCGTTCCTCATATTTCATCGTACTTCAAACTCAATGAAGTAGAAATTCCTCTGTAAATCCAGTTTATGCTTTCTTGAATGTGGATTATAATCCGCGTAACCTGAGTATATGACCAAAATGAACTGGTGTTGTTTATGTGACGTATTTTAGAGCGGACCCATGTGCAGAGGTAGTATCCTCATTTTTCAATCTGTTAGTTATGAATCACAGCAAAAAATCTCCGAATCCCTGAAAGATAAAATTCAGAAACTTGATTTTTGCAAACCCTGATAATTTGACAAAATCCGGCTTTCAAATTGGTCGAAATGGCCAAAATATTCGGCTGAAAAGCGTTCACCTACAAATAATTAGGTACGTGATAAGTTCGTAAGAACAGTCAGCTCTCAGGGGTTGGGATATGATTTGCACATAGGGAGTTGTAGTTATGCGTTGGAGATTAGCTGCACACCCAACGGTGTCATTGGGGGGAGTAGCATCGGAAACTGTGATGAGTTTGCGAAAGAGGCACGTTGCAATAAATGGAATAGGCTTACTTTGGGTAGACGTGTGTTGAGGCTTCACAGTGGTCGAAGATAAGTGATATCCTCCGGGCAATGGTTAGCCTTCTGGATGCATTGGATGAGCTTTTAGGCCGAGAAGCACCGGTTATTTGTGGCTGCCGAGCATCTTGTAGATTGGTCGGAAGTCCTTGTCAACACCTTCCATTACCGAACTTAGTCAGACAGTCAGCACGGAGGAGACTGAAACTTGAGGCGATATTTGGATAGCGGTTTCCTAAAGCAGACGGTTATAAATTCGTTGAATCTCTTTCAACGAAGTCTGGCAGCCCGATCGATTTGCTTTCATCCATTGAAGCAGTTGGTTGTTCATGAACACATTTAATTTAGTTTAGAATATCAGCATGCACGGACCTATAAATCGCGACAAGCCTAATACGGCTAAGCTTACGCTTTTAGGATCCTCCATTTTCGAACGAGACCCAGGTCTTCACTTAAGAGACACCCGAGTGCCATAGTTCTTCGCTGAATTTTTCGACTGGTTCTAAATACTAATGTCCTAAAGTAACTTCAGCCATAGGTAAGAAGTCTTCAAAAATGCATCTAAATATAGGTCTTCCTGGGAAATATGCATAATTTATCTAATCCAAACTGAACCAACATTTGCGGATAATTGTAATAGAATAGTGTACACAGGGAGAACCGCCAAAAACAATAAACTGTTCAACCCACAAACAATCTTATGACCCAATTTACGTCCTGTCGCTGTATTCGCGTGCGCTTAGCGCATGAAACAATGATGTAATTGTGCCTTATCATACTTTTAGGAATGCGAGCATTGCAAAACAACATGTACCTTAGTTTACATATTCAAACGGAAGTAATGCTTACAATGACAGTACGCATAAATAGCGCCTTGCATATCTGAAAATTCCTAATGTAACTTTTACTCACTATGTTGGGTTGATAGTTTTGATTACATTTTGTTTTGTATCAGAGAGTGTTGCATGACAGTACCTCGAAACGGACTAGCTACATCTAGCCTGTGCAGCCAACGTTTATATTCAGATGAAAGGACGAAATTATATCATTTGTATTTGTACGATATCGTTTCCCGAATGAAGTACTCGAAACATAATACAAGCTGTGGATGCGAACTTAAACTGCGTCTCGCAACGACACAGGGTTTCTTAATCGCCATTGATTTCCAGAGGCGCATGCAATGTCATTCCAGTGAAACTAAACTGGCCCAAAAGAGAATTCACTCTGAACACTCCAAAGGCCTTTATTGTAAACAAGTCTCGACCATTAATGATCGCTGTATAGCAGGTCTTGAATAACTGCTTGAAACATGCGGATTCCGCAAGTGCATCAATGAAGAAAATAGCAAAGTGCGATAGAGAACAATGTATGTCTCCTTGTGAAGCGAACGGGACTGGCTGTTCGTCATCAGTTATTTTTTCTAGAGGTGGGCATCCACAAATTTAATGAAGTCAGCATCCTGGAAGGAGTTCTTTGCGATATAAGGTTCCTGCTTCATGACTTCACGGTACTTTAGCACGTTAGGCCACTGAGAGGCCATCGTCTCGATGCTCTCACCAGAGGATTCGTCCAGTTTCAGCAGTCGGCCCATCACATAGTCCCAAGCATTAAGGAAGGGGAAGAGAGCCAAGTCGCCTAAACAGAGTTTCTCACCTGCAGATGGATAAAATTGGGGTAGGTCCGCTGGTTGGAATTTTTTTTGCCAAATAAATATACAAAAATAAATAAATGTATGGTATATGCTGCAGAAGGCTATTTTCCTTTTTTGCAAAAAATCACATTACCAATTTACAGGAAGAAAGCGAGACAAATGGTAAACGTAGGTAACGCGAGCAAAATAGGATTGCTCATTTTGCCAAAAATTGGGCTTTATTTTAAGGCGAATTCCACTAATCGACACTTCAGGCAGCAGGTCGACACATAAAAATGGTAAATTGCAGAGTCACATAGGCGATCCACAGAACAAAAGCGAGACAAATAGCAAAAATTGGCATCTTGAACAAGATAGGGTGCTTATAGTGCCAAAAACCTGGATGTTATGTTGAGTTAAATCCATCTTAAACATTATTTCCGGTAGCAGCATAAAGGGTAGCCATAAAGGTACTTCGCGGTTGACACAGAAGAATAGTAGAGTGTACGGTTGAGATAAATAAGACGTCGCCGTTTTGGCTTGTGCGCAAACAGGCGTTATGCTGAGCGACAACGTTAGACATAAATCAAAGACCTAAAAGTGGTAACTGGCTTACCCATTAGGTAGGGACACTTGATGGCTTTGTCGAGATTTGACAGAGCTTCTTTGAAGGCCTCAGAATCAGCCTTGGTTGTCTTAGATGAGAAGCAGAGTTTGTAGCGGGGACCAGCCAGCTAAACAGCGAATGAAAAATGAAAGCCCGTCAGATATTTTATATGCATTGCGAGAGTTGAAAGAAAAACAGAACAAAATGAAAAGGTACCCAACATAGAAGCTTTTGCAGGCCAGCTTAATGAAACATCAAGTATGAAAAGATATTACTTTAAACGCGCACAATAGGCGGTGAAAATAAACCCAATTAATGCTAGTACACATGTCTGGCCTGCTCCATTTAGAGTTAAATCATCTGTATTTCACTGAGGTTTCGTGAAAGTAACCCAACATGGAGGAAGGCGCATATGATCGTCGCTGCATGAACTGTACTCCTAAAAGGAATTAAAGAATGCCTGGTTTTTAAGAAGTTGATGTTGGTCTGGACAACAAAATGGACGTGGCGGTCAACCAACAGTTGCAAAATGGAGCATACTTCCCCAAGTCCGAAGCGGTGCCCTCTTAAATCGCCTTTCTTACTCCTGCGACTGAAACTTACTAGATATGTTAATGAACGCCATTTCAGCCGCCCCATCGGGAGTGACAAGCAACAATCTATCATCCAAAATTAATTCAATCTTATTTTTAAATAATGCACGATCTCAGATGACGAGCTCAGATATGAAATCTGCAAACACAAATGTCCAGATTACAGAAGATATTTTTAATCATGCTAGTCATTTCAATGATCGCTTGAATGCGATGACGAGAATAATCATTAATATTGTCATTGTAATAATGGTGCTACTTGTAATTATGCTGATAATATCCGTGGTAAGTGTGATGATGATTATGGTGACTATCAAAATGTTAATTGGGTGCAATTGTAGACTAGAAAAGAAATACTCCTGGGGGATTTGAATTCTACATGATTCAAAAACGCTCTCACTTTACACCAGGCGAAATAACATGCATGAACTATGTTACTGCCATTGGACTCGCGGCGGACGACAAGTTCAACGCCTCCTTAAAGCCCTCTTCACCGCAGACGCTCAGTAGAGAAGTTTCAGAATCCTTGATATGGTCAACATACTTCATGATAACATCTGACTCAATCATTTTCTCACCCCGATACAGCAGTAGCGGGACCTTACCCGCCGGATACAGCCGTAGATACCAGCTTGGCTTTGAGTCGAGTTGAATTAATATGCGGTCGTACCTGAGAGGGAACAGTGCCATCAGTAATGAGAAAGAGTTACCTTCTATTAAGCAAGATAATTTTCCCAGCCATTAAACACAACCGATTAGGAAGACAAGTATAGGTGCATCGGACAGATTTCAGGAAGAAGAACAGCCTGAGGGAGTTCTGAAGGCAAAGCGCGTATTAAATATGCTTCTCTATCTGTTACGAGATTGGTGTAACTCTGACAATTGTAAGAATGACGCCAATTTTATTAATTTAGCGTGAAGAAGTCATGAAGTGAAAGCTTCTACGCAGCATTATTAAAACGACTAGTCAGTGAGACGCCATCTAATGATGGTTGGATGCCGCTATGATGTTGGCGATCTTGGACAAACCGCATAATAAAGTGATAGGATTCAAACTAACGACGTGTTTCCACGATATTCTGTCGCTACATGACATAGTTGTGAGAGTTGGGGCTCGTCCGTGAGTCCCCCAACATTCCCTGTCTGCTTTCTAGTAGATAGTACAATTTAGAAATGGTAGCTCTTCAATTTCCCCATAAAGTTAATGCAGGCTTTGAGTTGATCAGTACACTTAAGGCCTATAGACTCAGACCAAAGTTTTTATGTGTGGATATGTGTACATATATACATGTATTTTTGGAAGCAAATACGTTCCTAGGGAAAAGGAGGAACATTTTTATGAAGTAAATTTTCGACGCTGGTTCCACAGATCTTTTTCAGACTTAAGCAAATGTGTAAACAACAATTAACATTTCAAACGTTCTCAGCAATCGATATACCTTTGGCATTTGCGCCAGTTAGTGGCCGCCGTGTGCGGCAGCCTGTATTGATTGGCTTTCTTCTCTTCCGCTTTTCCCTGAGATTCTTGTACGGGGAATCTAACTCAATGTGCCGATTGATGCATAATTCATCGGAGTGCATGGCTTCGAGGAACTCTCGGCATTTTTTAGAGAGACAAACTCCGACTTTCCCGTATGGCCACAATATACAGAATCCCAGGCATCGCATGGGATCTTATAGTCGAGATAGCCAACCCTGTCCTTAGGCTATACAAGCTGAGTGCGTAAAGCGGTCGCCGGTTAGTGAGCCACTTTTATTTGGTGTTTCCTCAAGTGTATTTTAAAGAGTTCGGACACATTCCCGATTTAGGGAAGGATTCGCCAAGTATTGAATTTGGCGCTTGATTGGAACTATCTAGTTCCTTTGCTTTTATCTCTTGCTGCTTAAAGCGTCGACGCACGAAATCTGGGAATATAATTTACATAGGTAATTTAGTTCAGCTCGGTAGCTTTTATTCATCAGAACAATATGTTTTTGGTCGATGTAAAAGACTTTTGACAGTACTTCGCTTGTGAGAGACTGCTCTAGTGCAGAAGTACTTCCGCATATGTTTTTTGCAGTAAACGGGAGTGTGTAATGTTCCGTCAGTCTTACGCTGTACAAGAACATCTTGAAATGGGAGTTTACTGTCGACTTCTTTTTCGAGCGTGAATTTAATTCCCAAAATGGTTGTGTTGATGGTGTTGTGTAGCATTTCCAGTTGATTCTGTTTGACGACAACAAATGTGTCCTCTATATATCCTGCACACGACATAGAGTTAACTAATATAAAATCTGCCGATTCTAGTTTCTGCATTCTCACCTCGGCATGAAAGCCGGATATAGGTGCTCTCATAGGAGCTTCTTTTATTTGTTGATAATACTTGTGATCGAATGAAAAACATGTTCCCAAACAAAGGTCCGTGAGTTCATGAAAGGCAGCTGCGGAAACATCCATATCATAGGACTTTAGGAGTTCATCTCTGCACTGCTTTGCGAAATCTCGTGAGCTGTCATTACCGACAAATACAAGGGAGACTGATAGAGGGAGGCGTTTACCGATCGTTTCTACGGAACTCACTCGTTCTGTTTTGCCTTACGGGCCCTCTCTCTCGAGTCAAACCAGCCCCCGGCCGAGGCCTCTTGGTTCCGGTGGTTGGAGTGTTTCTCCTGCGCAAGCAGTGCAATTGCTGCCGTGTATTTTAACCATACGGTGATTTGTATGTTCCGCTAGATATGTGTTGCTAAACGGCATTTACGACCGCATCAACCTCCTGTAAAAGCATTGGCTGTACTCAAGCCTAACCTTTGCTGTCATGGATTCAAATCCCCTCAAGATAGCCGAGTTTTTCCCAGATGGATCCAATGAGCAACTAATTAACTAAGACTAGTAGTCATCTGGTAAATTATAGATTGAGTCCTTCGAAATTCTGCTTGGGCTCGTAATTAGCGGATCCTATACAGGACGGGAAACATTACGCAAATGTGATCAGACGCATAACTAACGATGGGGTCTCATAGCTCACGTACATAGAATGATGGCTGTACTCAAGTCCTGCTCTTCCTGTCGTGGGTTCGAATCCCACCGCTGCAGCCTAGTTTCTTACAACTGGATCAAGTAAAAATATCTCGGTCAAAAAGTGTTACACCACTTGGTTTTACACTCTTTCGCAATATACTTGTATTATCGTACATTCGTGCAAAATGCGTGGAAATTAGATCATTTTCTCCTACCTGCTATTCGAGCAAAGTGTTACGGAGGAGTGTAATATATCAGATTGTTTATCCGGGATTCTAGTCAGAGAAGTATAATCTGTCGAGTCCAGTATGTGTTAAAAGGATTTGGTTGTCAGATGAGTTTGCATTCATGACTTCTAAGAGGTCAAGCTGTAATACTGAAAAGATGTCTAGACGAATGAAATTAGTATCCTTCTTTGATGGGATTTCTGGAGGATGAGAATAAAACTGGCAAATGCAGATAACTGAACATAAATAATAAGACAAATTCTTCTAACGGCAGAACATGACAACATATTGCATATTAGACAACATGCGTTCTTTACCGTTGATCGACGTCCTTAAATGAACGCCTAGAAAAGGTGAATTGACAAATAAACGCACAGTTCAAATAATCCTGGAAGATAGGCATTAAAGAAAGTTTAAAAGAAGACGAAGGCACGATCACTGGGACGGTAGATTTATTGGCCTCAACTTTCGAACTCGAACTGGAGTTCATCATCAGATACTGCTAGAGTGCAGCAACGTGTGAACGTTTGCATCGTACTGCCGTGAGGGGGGGGAAGACTACGTCCGTGGATAGGTCTGGTTTGTGCCGCCTGGTCCCCCCCGGCGTGGTGACGCCATTTTTACCATGCGGCGATGTGAGCTGCGCCACCTGGCTGTGTGGGCGGAGTGCGTGAAAACACGCCGGCAAATCAATGCGTCTACTGATAGAGTTGGTGTCCAACACTCACGCCTCCAACAGTTCTCGCCCGTCTTGTGGCAGAAACAACCCATTGAGAAATGTTAGGGTACAGGTAGTACATCGTGCTGCATGCGTCAGTATTATTTTTAAAAAAATGGGTATTTTGGCCCAAAACGTACACCGAACCGGATTTTATTCAACAGCGAAAAGTGGATCGGCTCGGATCCCAATTGGCGAGAGTGCTATTCAGGCCAAATTAAGAAGAAGCCATTGCACTCTGATTCTCAGTCCTCCATGTCAAACAAGCACAAACTGGGCTGACTGCGCGGTCCGAATTATCCTGTCAGTTTTTAACTTTCTCATCCACGGCTTTTAGGATCCCGTGACAGATTCATGCCCATCAGATTGTGTATAGTGAAGGATACGCGCTGAGAACGTCGATCCCTCTCTCACTCTTGTAACCCCTAAGAGATAGTGAGGCTTGAACAACACCTATCGCACCCTGTTCGCCTTCCACACCTTGGCCTGGTGTTAAGACATAGTCAAGAAGACCGATGGGAGAGGACACAGGCGGCTGGTGGGACCGCAGCCCTCCCTAGGTGTGCCACCACAACCGGCTCGGATGCCACGGAGTGGGAGTGCAGGCCACATTAAGAAGGCGCCGCTGCGACCAACTGGCCACTTGACACAAACATGCATAACTGAGCCGACTGCGTGGTCCAAGTTATCCCGTCAGTTGGCAACCTTCCAAGTCGCGCACCATGATAACTTCAAGCGCGTGAAGTTGTTTATGATGAGGAAAATGCGTTGAGTCGTCGACCCCACACACCCTCCCCATTCCCAGGCTCCAGCCCCTGTCGGAACCAGTTAAATGTCTGATGCCGGCATTGGACACAGTGGATCGTTCTCCCGCACCGCAGGCACGACCAGGAATACACACACAGTTAGGGATGCGTCTCGCACCTCATATGTGTGCTATTAAGAAGGAGCCACTGCAGCCTGGCTCTCAGTCCCCCAGCTAGCCAATCAAATCACAAAAGCGCAAATGGGTGCAAATGGGTTGACAACCTTCCACGCCACGGCTTTTCGGGTACGGTGTTAGAACCATGCGCGTCAGTAAGCGACAACCTGACTCAATCTACCCTGAGGACAGCTCGTTTGCGGGTACCATACACGCGACATGGCCCCCATACGCACACCGCAGGATGTCGAACATAAAGGGGGTAGACCGCTTGGATCACAAATGTGGCAGAGAAGCCAAGAAGTCACTAGCATGAGATGTGCCGGTGATGTGGGATTTTGGAAGCGTTTGTGCGTGACGCATGTGTTGACTTAGGAACGTGTAGTGATTAGGCCATGACTGCGGGGATTTGCCGCAGGTTTTTATGTGGCCGAATGATGTGCATGCGATGGCTGAATGCGGGAGGCAGAGTGGTAAATTATGTGCCGCTGTGCGGCTGCTAATATAGTCAACAAACATGTTGCGCGCATGACTCCATATTCAGGTCAAACACAACAATAAGCAGTTTCTCGAAACGTTCCCTGGTCGTTTATGTTGCATGTGCTTTAGGAGTCTGCCCAAAGAATTTTACGGGCAAAATGTCGAACGAAGGATTCGACATAGCCCCTAACGACATACACGATGAGGGACCAACATTAACGGTGCAACCAGCGTGGTGCTGTATCCCAAATTCGTAGGGTTTGGATCTTCATGTCTACAATCATGTATTTCAATCCACATCGACACCGACTATAAACAGGAGCATTCATCTTGCCCCATACTTGGATGCAGCATTTGCACTGCCATCCAAATTTTGATTCCAGGCAATTGGTTGAGGACATCATTTCCAGTGTTTGAAAGGTCAGAAGGGAACGAACTCCATCTACTTAACTAAAATTTTCAAAATTCTTAACCCCAAAAGTCTTAATGAAGTACACAGGCAGCAAGTAATTAAACCTGTTTATGAGTCCTAAGAAGTAGCAAAAAACTCAGACTGCACTGTCCAGATTACGACTCTGCATAACATCTAAAAACCAACTATTTCATAATTGTGTTTTGCATTATGGACCTTTACTAATCACTTCACTTTAGAATGCCACAAGTCATAATTTCAATGTTTAAAAACGAGTAATCTAGATGCGTGGCTGAATAGATTTTCAGTCTCCCGTTAAATAAGAACATTTGGAAGCAAGTGTGGATTGGTCTGTGTAAAATAATGTTCGTGTGAGTAGATCGAAAAGAAGGATCATTTAACACAGGCGGCAGACTGTCTTACGGTATTTGATGGTAATCCAGAGTGTATCGAACGCGCTGACAGTAGGGGCAGCAGTGCATGTCATAGAGTGTGAAATTTTCCGGGTTGACCTCGGGTTCGGGATCACCTAAAAAGTAGATTAGCGAATAAGGGGAGAATTTCTAAGCGGCCGGGATTTTCTATTTCCAGCAAAAGGAGTATTTAATGAACAGTGAGCTGAATTTCGTCATATATGCCAGAATTGCATTTCACTTTTGTGGATGTGACGAACACTTACGTATTAAATCAAAATGAGTTATTGCGATGGCTACTTGACTAAATAAGTCAAATGACGTTTCGCAGACTGTTGTTCAGCGGGAAAGCGACAGGCTTAGAGCTGTAATTTCTTCCGCGTTACGTATACGTTAACATTACCAAAAAAGGTGTCTGTTCTGTAAAGGTGGCCCAGAGATTCTGCGACAGACTAAGGGACAGTTGCCATGGGTATGGTATTTGCAGCGTCCCAGTTAGACCGTTCAAGGCCGCCATAAATGTTTTGAGCGTTCTTCTTGCGGATTATAAAAGGAAAATTTAAAAATAAGACTCGAGAATGGTTGTTTCTGATTTACACTTCGTTGTCTCTGAATGTGTGTTCGATCGTGATGTCAGTCCCTGAATACGGCTAAATAGTGAGTGTTGTGATCCAGCGGAGTTAACGGTAGCAGTATTTTGTGATTCAGCTGTGGATGCTACAGACAAAATTAGTTGTTAACTTTTTTGCTGGTCGCATTCAAGCCGGTCCATCAGCAACAATTTTTGCGGAAGAAGGGATTCCTAAAACTGTCTTAAATGTGCTCCCAGCGACAAATACATTAGCGTCATTTCAATAAGATTGGCCAGTTAAAACACGAAAAGGGACAGCCTAAAAAGATAATGTGCGGATAAATCCGGGCATCGCACTTTCGGAAGGTAAGGTTGAAACCATAAACTGTGAAGATAGTATTTCAGAAGAGAGGGATAGTATATACATATATATATCGGAAGCAGAATCGTATCTACGTCGTTTGTCATTGGTTTGATAGTTGAGCAACGTAACGGGACGGCAATCCTTTTTAGACTCCTGCAACGCTCTCGGGTCCGCCTGCTCTTAAGACATGCAAAAAGCGCCAACATAGTGCAATAGAAATAATCTGATTGCAAGCGAAACGCCTGAAATATTACCTCATTACAATCTCCTGGCCGCTGAGAATGCTGGTAGTGGTTGGACCTAGTTACTTTTGCTTCTTTTATGAGAGGTTCATCACAAGGCATCGCAAGGAGGAAATAGAAAGCTCACCGGATTAGGCGAATTTTATGGTTGACGTTTCGTTCGGCTTGGCTGGCTGTCCATTATCAAAGCGTTCTGTGCAAAAAAATCGACCAGAATCTTAGAAAAAACCGCCAATTTAGATAATGTTTTGATGATCAGCCGTTTATTTAAAATCCTGGTAGATGAGTTGCGCAAAACACTTTGATAATGGAGGGCCAGTCAAGCCCTCGGAGACGTCAGTCACACAAGTCCCCTGATCGAGTGAGCACTTCACACTTCTCAGCTTATCGACCTGGATATCTAACGTTTGCCAACCTGAAAAAGTTCAATTCTGTGGTCCTCGTTAACATTATGAGACGTATACTGCTTCCAGCTAGTCTATGTTTGACTAGGTGAACTCAGTGTTCTTGCTAATGTATCCGGGAAGTATCGAATCTTTAGTTATCGTTTCTTGACAAAAAGTAGGGCAAACGCATGGGACCACCTATCGCATGATGTATTCTAAGGCTACACTTCAAATAGTTTCAATTTTGTCCTCGGAACTTCGTTAATCCCCATTCTCGTCCTACCATTCAAACGTTTAAAAAGTGTGCTGAAACACCCATGTTCAGAAGAGCAAGAAACAGTTCAGTTTTCCGGATAAGTAGAGCCTTTTTGACATAACTTTGCAATGGTCTCTTTTAGAACCGAACCCTGAATTAAGAACAGGAAGAGTAATTCCGAGGATAGTCAGAGTAATGTGAGAGTAGTCAAATCGGGTAAACCAATCTTTACTAAAGACATTATGGATAAGTAAATTAGCATCCTAAATTCCCGAAGTACCTCGTAAACTCGGCAGCAAAGAACTTTCGCAAACCTACCCTCTTTCAAATGCTGAATTGTGTCGCAGGACATTCTCAGACAAAGTGGCGATAAGTGACGTGGATCTGTACAGGCAGCGATCAAACTCATTTTTATATACTCGCGAGCATAGTCGGCATTGGTTATTGGCTACTTATGCATCACGCTGATTGGTAGTCTCACTATGGACAGATCTTCAGAAAACATCCTCCATATAAACACAGCGGCAGGAAAAGCGTTGGATTGATGTGTTTTTGAGGAGTTCCGAAGATGCCCTCAAGGGCATATTATCAAGTTCATTGGTGAATTTGACGATGCAGTCAAGCAGTTAAATCAGGTGCAAATGTTAATTTATGTGTGTCTCAATTCTGCATGACTCGTTAACATCTTAAATAAGTGTATTCCTGCAAATTTCACAGCTGGTAGCTCTATGTAGAAAACTCCGAATATACAGCCAGAATACGCGTGCGATTCGACTGGCGGCAGCTGCAACGCATACTCCTTAACGATGGTTGGCCTATGCTTACTTTTCAGACGTGGGGACCGAACCATGGTGTTTCCACGCAATACCTCCAATGAAGGGTTCTTAAGCGGGTTTGTGTGTTCAAGATAAAACTGTGGCAATTATCAAAGAGTTTTAGGTGCCGAGAACACTGAAATAATTAACCAAGTAGTACAAAGTACGGACTTCCCTTTGCCTTCTTTCAGAGATTCAGTTATTGTTCGCAGACCATTTTGCGTGGGCATTGCGCAATTTCGACAAATATTTGTAAGGAATGCAAGTAAAAGTGGACGGCATTAAGCGAAATTTGAATGAGTATATTTTCACTACAATAAAATAATAAAATTCAAGTCTTAAGGGAGAATCGTGGATGAATAATGCGTTTTCATCATTCTGCTCACAAACAACATCAAAGAATTGTCACTGGAGTCCCACATCTGTAAATGCATATTCGAATGTGTAATATTCATTTCCTCGCAAACAACACATGAAATGATGTACAGTAGGTAAGTTAACTCACGGAATATCAACTGAAATTCCGAAATGATTTTTCGATTCGAAAAAATTAACTAAATACGGGTGTCTAACTCATCACCATGCAGCATAATCCGAAAATATTTCAGCTGATTTGGAATGTCGGTTTTTGGATGAACTTTTTTCTGGCTGCAGGCAAAAACTAAGCTCTGCAAAAAATGGTTGCTTACGTAGCATGCACTTTTCTCATTGATTTTCGATGCCCCTAAAAATTAAATAATATTTCAATGCAATAATGCATTAAAATCTTCGTTCTTTTGTTCATTCGGTAGAGAATTACGTCTTGTTTCAAGATTGTACTTGAAGGAAGGGTATAATTGGCTTTTGAAAAGGTTTCTAATTGCTAGATTTTTAATACCGTGAAAAGGCCGTTCATAAAACGTTATGTTCCTGCATTTACTAATTTGGCGTGTAAAATTATCCATATAGCTCAATCCACTATTAAATTATATGAAACCCATATAGTTTCCTCCTACTACCGTAGAGAAATGTATGATTTTCGATACGCAGAAAACGTACGGCACGTAGTTTGGAAACCCTGAATGCGAGTGTAACGGCAGGTCAGATTCAAAATTATTCGACAATTGTAAAGGTTTTTGAAAACCAAGTTAGATTCCTTCTTCGAATATAAAATTCGATGAAGACGTATTATTCTGCGAATGAGCGAGTGGATAATTATGTTATGTTTTCCATGAAATAAATTGACTTCTTAAGGGCATCGAAATTCATTGAAAAAATACATGTTAATTCAGTAGCCATTTTTTACAAGGTATAGTTATTGCATGCAACGGGCCAGAAGTTTATTCGAAAGCCGTCATCCCAAAATAACTGAGTTAGCGTAAAATTATGCTGCAGATTGATTAGTTTTACAACCCTGCGTTTATTAATCTTCTCGAAAAGAAAACGCATTTCGGAATTTCGTTTGACATTTCATGAGTTATTCTATCTACTGTACATGGGCTCATTTCTATCCAGGCGGACGCTCGTTATCTTGATTTCCGGCAATCACCGAATTTGAAAATAATTGCAGATTACGTGTCACAAACCCCTTAATCTTTCAATCTTATTAATCTTCTCTGAAGTATCGTTTTGCTGATACGGAGCTTCATATGGCTTGCGTAATTTGTACCATCACGAGGTTATTTAAGCCACCTATGACCTGCACTCTGAACTATGTGTCATTTTAACTGCCTGGCGCGTAAGCTAATCTTCACTTGCACTTAGCACGGAAAAGTATTGGTCGTCAGGGTCTCATATTGGCCTGAATCGTGGGTAATGATTAGGAAATTGTGAAGCATCAGCCGGATTTTTCGAGCTGCTTATTAGTGACGTCCTTGCGGATGCTTGAGGGTACCGTGTGCATTCAAATTGAGTCTTGTAAAACCGACAGCAAAAGTTTTACTAAACTTGCCATCTTTCAGATACAGCGTGCGAATCTATCCAGGCAGTGGGCAATCTCATTATTCTACACCTTCCAAGCCGTCGGCTTTAGTTATTGGTAAGTAAAGCTTTTCGCTGATTGGGAAGTTGTCTATGGACGGCTTCACAAGGACGGAGACAAAACGAGGATGCGATAGAGCTAAGCTCTAACTACGAAATGTGGACCAGGATGCAAGACTTTGAACTGTGATTCCTGAGCAATATGTAAAGAGAAAGAATGCAAACGGTGGATGGGGAAGGGTTCTTTTACTATATTGCAATACGGCTAGCCCAGGCCTGCCCCTAATTTAATCACATATTCACAAACGTCATTTGTTACGAGCATTGGTTGGCGTGAACCTCGGCGATCACCGACTTTGAAAGCGATTGCGCGTCACGTGTCGAGATCCTTTAACCTACTGATCGTGCTAATCCGATTTGTAGTCCCGTGTCGCTGATGCGATTTTTTTATTGTCTTAGTAAATAGTGCAACCATGCTGGACCAGACAAAGCTCATAGAGGATGACTTAAGCCAACGGAGATCAGCAGCATGATCTTTGCGTTCTTTTGTATGCATTTCTTGAATACTACTTTTCACGCATACCCAGGATATAAAAGAAACAGTTGCGCGGATGCGACCGATGCAAACTGGGAGCCTTTCAACCATAGCTATAGTTAAAGAGCAGCCCTATGAGCGAACTCCTTGATATACAGTTAAAAAAAACTAAACGCAATAATCCGTCCGAGTCTAGGTTGCTGTAGGTTCGATATGCATGGGAGTTTGAATATGCTCAATTTTTATTCCATCTTATTCAATTCTGAAAACTCGTCGACAATATGAAGAAGGCTTTACTACTCTGTCGCTTTGGTCACATGTCAGTTGGCCAATGCACGTAAAGGAGCAGCCAAATTATGTGCTCGTATAGTAGGTCCGTATGAGCTAAAAGGTCAAAGATAAGAAGAGATGGTTTGCTCTCAAGAGGTGTTATGTTGCTTGCTGAAGGGTCTTCGGTTTACTAACAGTGTCAGCAGTAGTATCGGCACTGGACACTGAAAAAGGAGACGGCGGAGGGTGAATGAAAAAATCGATAGAGTACGCGCGCAGGACAGAAGGGCATACGGTAGGCCTTGGCAGGTGCGGAGACTGAGTTAGTTGTTGCGTATGGATGTCTGGGCTATTCACGCGCATGACCTGTGTTTCAAACATCAACGCCGCTCATGTCCAGCATGCTTTGTCGATGTAAGCTACTAGTAAACTTTGTCAGTAACTATCTAAGGTGCCGTGTCAAGGTGTCCAGATTCTGTAAAACGAAGTTACTAGCATCGTTAGCTAGATAAGATATGTAGACGTTCACGAATCAACCTAAAACGGCAACTGACCACTCAAACGGCAAATTCTGCATCACCGTTGCATGTAAGCGATTCCAGACACATAACGATGGCCTGAAAATGCCGTTTATTCCTTTTTTAACTATCGACTTAGATCGGGAACCTGCTGGTCTTAGCAAACATCCCTACTTATGCACATTTCAATAAGTCTGACGCGTAACCAATGAAATATAGTCAATTGAATAAATATTTATCTAGAAAAACAAACAATACGAAGATTTCGCATCTGTGTTCATTTAACATTCGTCATACTAGGCGCATCGTCTTCTTTGTTACAACCTTCCGTATAGCGTAAGGGTGAATGTCTTGTTTTTTTTCAGTAGAGGGAATACGCAGACCTATGACCTATTTATCTGGGGAGATATATCTCTCACTTCAACATTCCAATTGCTTAATGAAGAGTTTGCATTTATCTAAATGACATTTTGGTATCCCTATGAAGGCTTAGACCTACACCATTACTATTTCAATGGAATGCAAAACCAATAAATTGAGAATGATTATAACGTCCCTTTAAAAACGTAAGTAATATTTTCCTCATCAAGTTTCCAATCGTCAAGCACCAAAGTAAGATCAATTTATTCCGAAGCACCTTGCCATTAATGCAAACGGGTCCGAAATTTTCGCGAAGGCAATTGCATAATTTCGGCAGGGAAGTAAAAACGGTCCAAAGTATTTTAAAAGCAAATTCCGACCGACTGCATCGTAAGGTAGGAACGTTGCTCAGGCTAATGTTACGACAAGCAAGTATGTATGAATTCATACCTCCTTCAGATATTAACAATTCTCTGCCAAATCGTAAACCACGAAGAATCTCAAGCAAGGAGACAATATGCGACGTCGCTCAGAGAACGGAATGCAGGTCATCGTGACATATTGCGTTCTTACTTTTTCTATAATTGACGCTACCGTGACCTCGTGACTAGATGGATTAAAACCTAATTCTTTTATGAAAACAAACTGGGGGTACTGTGAAAAATGTCCAACGTTTGTTTTATTGTCAGATGTCTTGGTGCCTTCATAGTTTCTTGGGGATCGAGGTCCTGATACGTGGGCTTTTTATAAGTAGGTATAGAGGAATTCAGCACGAGAACATAATACACCGCCTCAACGTTTATCCGAATATTTACCGAGTATCGCGCCGTTTACACCGTCGCGTTGTTCCACTCATAAAACTTGTATTGCACAATGATCTGGTTTTGCTTCCTAAGCGGAGTCCCATACGGTAAGCAAATAACTGCCGAAACGTATTCCAAACAGATTTAAACGACAGGCCAGTAACTTGAATGTCTGTGTGCAAACAAATCGTTGTGTCTGGGGGAGGTGTTTTTGAAAAATAGCGTAGCACTTGTCTCACAACTGCTAGAACGCGTGCGGTAATTTCGTATTGATGTCGATACCAGAAGGCACACCGAAAATGCAGATAAACCCGCTTTTAAGCCGAAACAGTCATTGTTGTGTCATTTATCCACAGAATACTGGCGAAACATATGCTTAGGTATATAGTTAGTATTTGTTCTGTTAATGCTGTAGGTAAATTTTCTGACACTTTTAAATACCGTAATCTCGATTGTCTTAATTACGGGGTTTCTTGCAGTGTGCCTGAGGAACTTATTAGACTGCACGACGTTTCCTATTCTTTACTGTTTAAACTATGTAGGATATCTGATTTTTCCACACTTTTTAAGAGTTTTAAGAGTAACGCTTACGTAAACCTGTTGTTTCATTCAAATAAATAAGCGCACATAACTAGTTCTTTCGACTTTTTTGCAGAATTGGAAATGCCTCAACATGGTGCATTGCAATTAATTTTCTAATTCTTGTTATAAACTAATCGCGTCATTTGGCATATCATATTTAGTCCTTTATGCATTACGCTTTGACTAGATCATTTTGCAACTACTATTGACAATGTGGTGTAAGATGTTACTATCTTTTTTTATACTTTTAGTCGTGGACTCGAACATCCTGTCTGCCCCGATTTAGGTGGCCAATCACGTAACAGACAAGCGAGTACGGGTGGGGAGGGAGGGGGGTTTCAGCGATCTTGCCCACAGCGGTGTCGTGTGTGTGCTTTCTGGACGAGACTGGTACGACTCACAACAGGAATGAATTGTTGAATAATCTGCAGTTACCCCTATAATTGTGCTTAGCGTTGAAGAACAGGAAGACATCACAGAACAAATTCCAAAGAGGACTTGTGATACACTCTCCCTTCAAGAACACAGTCTCTATTGCCGACAAAATGAAACTATGGTGCTCTTACAAGGGAAAATCCCAGTCGATATACGACAAGTGGTACGCTCGTACTTGCCTTTAACTACCACCGAATCGGCATCTGACCAGTTTCCAGGTATAAACGCTCATAAAAATGCTGGTTCGTCCCGTTGATCCTAGAGAAGTGATACTGTGTGTGTGATGCAGTATGTTTGCAAATTTCGCTAATAACAATTACAAATTATTATAATATGCCAAAGGCCACCATCGTGTCACGCGAAGTCGGTTTATGCTTAAGCTAATGGGGTATTTCTAATTCGTCTAGATCATTATCCTCTCAAGACAACTGCATTTGAGAAATTGATTCCAACTGAGGGACGAGTTGAAATTTTGATACTAATATTCAACCCAAACTCGACGAAATTTCACTTCTATTTCTGGGAATCACACACTGTTTCAAACATCCCTGATGCTTCTTCTCCCCTGCAGTTAACGATACTCAGATTGTTGATTTGGCGATGTCCATCGTGTGATTCACAGTAGGATAGGCCTAGGGATGGTGACTTGAAAATCAATTAGTTTGTAGTGATAGTAGACTTGCACAGCTTCTACCGCACTCTCATCTACACTTCTTGGACTCAGTGTCTGAACATAGGCACGAAGACCGGCGGTGGGGAAGGGCGCGGTTTCCTGGCACGGCTGGAGCTGCCCCAGGCGTGCCGCCATACCTAGTAAGATACGATATAACGTTTCTATTTAAGAATCTAATCAGAACTGAAGAACAAGCTCAAACACAAACAGCCGACGATGCGAGATTGAAGAAGGCAGTTGATCTACAGACGAAACTCCAGCCTCTGCTCCGCCCCATGAATGAAAGAAGTATGGCCACGATATCTGCTAACTTCTCGAAAAGTAGTCTCCCACCGCATGAAATCGACCTCCTGTCTAGGGGAATAGGATTTATTCCTGCAGATACTATACCTACCAACTTTCTAGCTGGTCTCGAATCCAATCTACTTACCTCTATCCTAACCAAAGACAAGCGCGCTGACATACACAGCTGTGCCACTGGTATCCTCCGGCAAAAAGACACCAACAATCTTTATTGACCGAAGAAGCGCAGGGATTGCAATCACGGAAATCGGACCACAATATTGTTGCTGTTCCCGCCGACAAAAGTGGCCACCGTCATCATGGACAAAACTGACTACGCCAAGTAGGCCATTATAGGCTTCAGTGACACGGTTTCCTATAACATTCTCGCGGAAGTCCTAACGAAATAGCAAGCCGCAGCCATCCATAAAAAGGTTAATGAGCTTGCTCATCTGAAAGTCACAGGTTCAGATGACTCAAAGTTGATGACCTCAGTGATCCCCGTATCGCACATGCGTACGATCCCCCAAAGGTTCACGAAATTGGTACCCTACTGAGGATTATTGTTCTGCTCATCGGATCCCGTAAATACGATTTAGCTAAATGGTTGTACAAGCATCTGAAGCCGCTAATTCGCGGATCTCACTACAGCATTAACAGCTCGTACGAATTCCTCCACCGGAACGAAGGCCTCAATCTAAACACTGATTAATGCCTCTTGTCGTCTGACGTCGTTGTCTTATTTTCTTCTATACCACACGATTTACTAATTGACTACGCAGCCCTACGACTAAAGGACAATCGTGTTAATATCCCAGCGCAGCCCCTTATTGAGCTGTTCAAACTCTGCCTTAAGAACTATTGCAAGTTAGACAATAAGTACTATCAACATGTGAAGGGAAGTCCAATGGACTCCCCAATATCCGGACTACTCGCTGAACTAGTGCTACAGCGACCAGAATATGAGGTTTTTCAAACTCTCAATCCCAAAATGTGGCTCCGCTATGTCGACGACACCTTCGTTGTAATAAAGAACCGCGAAGTAGAAAGACTACATCAGAGGCTGAATGATGTTTTTCCAGCCATACAATTTACCCGCAAAGAGGCAGTAGGAGACAGTCTGTCGTCGCCTGACATAAAAATACAAAGGCTGGACGACGATAATCTCGCAACCATCGGGCATATAAAAGGGTCTGATTTTAAGATTATCCTCAATTATAAAAGCAATCACCTTGCGGCTCACAAAAGAAACTGCGTCCGATCTCTCTTCTACCGGACCTACCGTTATTACAGCAATGACGATCTCCTGAAGAAAAAGCCAGCTTATCTGTATCGGTTATTTCGATCCGATCAGTTTTGTGGAGAACTGTATCAGGCGTCAGGCACAACCTTGTTGCCCCTTCTCAAATGAAGAAATCGTGACACCTAAATTCTTCTCCCTCCTCAGAAACCTCAGAAACGATCGTCCGTCGGCAAAATTAATTCGGTATCCGCGTTTCCCACAAGCCTGCATCCTAGCTGCGCACAGTCTTAACTTGAGTAAAGGATTCTATCCCCAAAGAGGAACAGACTAACGTCATCTATCGCATCCCGTGTGCCAATTGCCCCTGCGTATATGTTGGTCATACAGGACGACGGCTGGGAACTCGTATTAATGAACACAAACTAGCTGTCCGTCGACGTGATCCACTGTGCCTCCTCTTTGCACACGCACTCCAGTGCGACCACCGTCTTAATTGGAATTACATCGGGGTCATCGTCACGGCCAACACAAGACGGATGAGAGAATTCCGAGAGGCATGGCACTCTAACGCGAACAGCATCAACCGCCACGTTAACCTAGACACCCATTATGAGGGTCTAAGATCACTTCTCTCTAAGCCGAGCCCACGCCGCATAAACGGCCGCTAATCCAGGCGCCCGCAGTTGCTCCCACCTACCATTCTCCCTCCCCTCTAACACGAGGAGCCGTAACGGTTCCCCCCCCCCTTCCTACCCTCCCGGCTCAGAACCCAGCATGACTCCCTGCCTGTATCCCACCTCACACGCTAATGGTCCACCCGTCAATGTTTGTCCTGTGGCGTCTACAAGTTTAGTGTGACCGTCTCACTCTCTCTGTTATCTTCATTTTATTTAACGACGGGTTGGTGTCACCAATTCGAAAATTCGCAAGTACAGCTCGTTTTTTCCGAAGAACCTCTCCTTTTTTCATAAATATTAGAGCGATAGAGGAATTCGCTTTATTATGAAACGAGAAATTCAAAATTTTCAGCAAAAAATTGGCTCCATTCACTATGGGCAGTAAATAAGTTAATAGATTATTCCAGAGTCAAACAGTTTAACACAAAAGGAACGATTATTATGAGGACAGTTCAAGTTTTAGTTTCTATCTCTTCACATGTAAGATAGCACGGCAGGTAGGACAATACAGCAGCTCGAAAAACCGATGTGCGACAAGACATAAGTCGGAAGCTGCGGCGCCTCGGGCGGGAAGACTTCGCAGAAATAGGATCAGAATGCAAGGGATGGGCAACGTCATCTGTAATCTCAGGCTTTATTGAGCTTCTCGAAGCATAGAGGACTTACTTTATATCAAGCTATAAAGTTGATAACGGCCCGTGATCAGCTTACTTTATATCCACTACTGGATATCTACAACAACGCGCGAAGTGCTTGATCTTCAAATCTTAATAATGCCTGCGTATCCCGTATCCTTCTCTGAAGCTGTACGCAAAGATGGACTGACGCCACTGGTCCGTGAATGGGTCCGTATGGATAGGTGGAGAAAAATCCAAAGCTCGTAGGCTGATTGTTTGCTCGCCTTGCAGGCGAACAGAGGCACCGTGTAGCACTTACAGCTCGCAGCCACGATCCGGCGTGGTGTCCCACAGACTCCAGACAGGCGGTGTAGACGTGCAAGTGAAAAAACGCTGCAGTGGAAATAACGACATTTTGGACCGCAACGAATGGAAGAACTTCTCTGCGATCAAAGCTGTCTACGGTCCGCCGACGAAGGGCACTGCTCCTCTCCTCAGCGCCGACGGCAACACTCTCCTGACTGAGAAGGCGCAAATCCTACAGCAATGGGCCGAGCATTTCCGAGGCGTCCTCAACCGCCCCTCCGTCATCTCCGACGCCACCATCGAGCGTTTGCCGCAAGTGGAGACCAACGTGGACCTCGACCTTCCGCCATCTCTCCAGGAGACCATCAAGGCCGTTCAGCAGCTCTTCAGCGGGAAAGCACCCGAATCGGACGCAATCCCTGCTGAGCTCTACATGCACGGAGGTCCCCAAATGACGGATCACCTGACTGCGCTCTTCCAAGAGATGTGGCGTCAACGTGAGGTCCCGCAAGATTTCAAAGACGCAACAATCGTGCATCTCTACAAGCGCAAAGGGAATCGCCAAGTCTGCGACAATCACCGCGGCATCTCCCTGCTGAATATCGCCGAAAAGATCTTCGCCCGCATCCTTCTCAACCGCCTCAATAACCATCTGGAACAGGGCCTTTCGCCGGAATGCCAATGCAGCTTCCGTCGTCATCGTGGGACCACGTATATGATCTTCGCCGTCCGAAAAACTTCAGGAGAAGTGTCAGGAAATGAGGACCCACCTGTACTCTACCTTCGGGAACCTGACGAAAGCCTTCGACACGGTGAATCGTGAAGGACTGTGGAAGATCATGCAGAAATTCGGCTGTCCGGAGCGATTCACTCAGATGGTGCGTCAGCTGCACGACGGTATGATGGCGCGAGTCACGGACAACAGAGCTATCTCAGAGGCAATCGCAGTGACCAATGGAGTGAAGCAGGGCTGCGTATTGGCGCCTACCCTATTCGGTCTTATGTTCTCTGCCATGCTGATGGACGCCTACCGCGACGAACGCCCCGGGATCCGCATCGACTACAGGACAGACGGTCGCCTCCTGAATCAACGGCGGATGCACTTCCAATCGCGCATATCCACAACCAACGTTCACGAACTCCTCTTCGCCGACGACTGCGCCCTGAACACCACCTCGGAAGAGGAGACGCAACGGAGCATGGACCTGTTCTCCGCCGCCTGCGAGAACTTCGGTCTGGTCATTAAGACGCAGAAGACGGTGGTGATACACCAAACGCCACCCAACTCAACCACAGCCCCCAACGCGCCGCCGCAAATCAGCGTGAACGGAACCCAACTGCAAGTGGTGGAGAACTTCCCGTACCTGGGCAGTACTCTCTCCTGCAACACCAAGATCGACGACAAAGTCGCCAACAGGATCTCAAAAGCCAGTCAAGCCTTCTGTCGCCTCCAAAGCACAGTTTGGAATCGCCACGGTCTTCAACTGAGCACGAAACTGAAGATGTACAAAGCAGGCAGGCCGTCTGAACCACTTCCACCTCAGTTGTCTTCCTCGCATCCTGAGGCTGAACTGGCAGGATCGAATCCCCGACACTGATGTGCTGGAACGGACGGGAATGCTCAGCATCTACGCCATACTGAGGCAAATGCAGCTGCGCTGGAGCGGCCACCTCGTGCGCATGGACGACGAGCAACTACCCAAACGACTCTTCTACGGAGACGTCGCGACGGGTTCTCGCCGTCAAGGAGGCCAGATTCGCCGTTACAAGGATACCCTAAAGTCCTCCCTGAAACGCCTGCAAAGCAACCCCACCAACTGGGAGGAGCTCGCACTCGATCGGCCGACCTGGAGGAGGGCAGTGAAGACAGCCGCTGCGATCTACGAAGCCAACCGCATCGCTGGCGCCAAAGCGAAACGCGAAGCCTGCAAATCACAACTTCGTCCAGTAAGCAACGCCGCCGCACAACCGCTTCCAACGTGTCCTCGATGTCAACGGACATTCTGGACTCGAATCAGACTTGTTGGACATCTTCGGATCAACTGCGCCTCTCGGACTGCACCAACCATCGTCCCCTCGCCCTCCTCTTCCTCCTCCTCTCCGCCGCCAACTAACTCTGACGATTTTTCTGACCCACCACTTCCATC